GTACATCTTTGGTACTTTTTTTTATAATTTGTGGAGATTATATTAGGCCTAAACATTGATTCAATTTGGATATCTAAAAATTTTTTACACCAAAGATTTGAAAAGTAATTACTTTTCCTAGAGTTAATAGTGACTAATCTGGAGTCATAAGTAGGTGTTTGCATGTGTCCAGCATGAAATCATTTTGAAGTTATCATCTTTGAAAAAAATGGTCATGGCCTATGCTGTGAGCAGTATGGAAGAAGAGAGAACATGTGCTAAGTTGACACAGTCAAAACATAACATGGTATTATCAATACATAAAATTTATCAACAAAACTTTTAAAACTATGTTAAATCTATGAAATTAAAAAAATGTAGCAACTAGCTAGCACATGCTTCGTTAGCTGTTTAAGGGTACTGTAAGGGTTTATTACCATCCAGATACCAAAACTGAGGTTTTTCTTTCATCTGATTTTTTAATAATGAGTCTATCTTTGTGAAGATTTAAAACAATCAAAATCCCTTTGAAAATATAAAGTACGGTGTTAAATTTTTCATTGTTATGTATAAATATGGGCAACTCAAAACTTTTATTGTCAATTTAACAACTTTCTATTGAAGGTGAGATAGCAATTGGTTCAGGGCGTAACATTATCCCTGAACAAGTTTTTATCACCAAAATTGGCAAAGTTGACCACAAGTGCATGGGCTTCAATTCCATACGGTCATTTTGGTTTGAATGCTTTTGTTATGGAGTTATGAGCCCCTAATTACAGGTTTTATGAAACAAAGGCATTATTTTGCTTTATCAATGATAAAATCTGAAATAGGGCTTTAAAGAAAAATCACTTGCAGGGTTTTGGAGTTCTAAATGGTGGCATTAAATTGGCATTAAAACGGTGTTCAAAGGTGCCCAGGTAAAGGATAAATGTGAGAAACCAACTTTTACCCCAAAATCACAATTATGATGTCACCTGTAGGTTGACGTGTAGAAAGGTTAATTGATTAAATCACTGAACACTGAAGATTTATGTTGTCCAAAAGAATGCACATAAGGCAGTAAATCCAGAGTTTTTGGAAAATGCTTACAGTATCATTGAATCTTAATGTGATTCTTATTTAAACTATGTACACGCATTATGATGACTGATGTTACTGGCTTATTTGGTGATGACGTGTGTATATGTGCAGGGGGGGATATGAGATGATGTGGACTGTTGTTTTCAAATAATGAGCTTTAAAATGTTTTATTTATTTTTAAAAATCCAATTTACATCTATGATAAATATAACACATAGGATCTCTACACATAGGATCACAAGTTTAAGTGCTAGCAGTATTCATGGTTTTAGTCCTGACCAGTCTTAGTCTTGTCTAGCCCCCTGTCATGGCAGCCAATCCAAGTCACCATTACTGCTTCTCTTCATAGACTACAAGGACCTGTATCCTCATCTCTTGGAATTAGATAACATATAATCTCAATTTGAACCCCCAAGATTTTGGGCTCTGTCAATGCATTTTCAAAGATGTGATGCTCACTGCAGTGCACCCTTGTAAACATTTTTGAAAATATCTCCTAAACATAGGAAATATGGGAAAAGTTACTATTATAATAGAAGCTTGACCAAAAGTCTTGTGGGGATTTCAAAAATGACCTTGGATTTGACCTTTCAACTATATCTCAAGGTCAAATTGACCAAAATTTTGTAAAAATCTGAGTCTTCTTTGAAAAAATATTTGTGTCTATTTTCAAAACTGCACAGACCTATGATTTAATATTATGGTTGGGGTCTTCTTTCATCATCACATATTTTGGGTCATTTGGTGCATTTTTAGGGGGAAAGCAGCCACTAAATGCTGGAACTGAGAACTATATCTGATTCTGAAATTGTTAAAGCTAGACACCTTGTTTTTGTTGCTTGTTACTGAGGGTTGTCTGTTTTCCATATGGTTTATGAGTTGCGCTATTTTAAAAAATATGAAGTTCAACCCCACAATGCTGTGGTGACGAGTGATGAACATTTTTCAAAATAAAATGTAAAATACTTCAAAACTAGCAGAGATATACTCATAGTTAAAATTGAACTTGGGAATCTTAATGTGACCTTGAATTTGACCTTTGACTACGCCATGAAGTGAACTCTGAAAATTTTCTAGCCCTTATTTCTCCAAAACTATTAGAGATACACCCATTTGAATAGGAATTCATATATTAGTAATCTTAATATGACCTTGAACTTGGTCTTTGACCTATTTTATACCATGAAATACATTTTGCAT